AGCTTGAGGCTCTGTCTCAAAAAAAAAAAAAAAAAAAAAGAGAGAGATGGGGCAGCTTTGGGGAAGAGAGTATGGGAAGTTTTCCAGGTAGAGGGAACAGCTGTAGTAAAGAAAGAACAACTTACCCTCTGGACACTTCTCAGATCTGCCTTCTCCCTTTTATTCTAACTGTTGCTGTCCTCATGATCTCTTCCTTGAACAGCACCTGCCATGTTCCTATATTCAGGTCAACTTCCCTCCGGTCTAGATTCCACACTATACCCACAGGGATCTTTTAAAACATTACTCTCTAATTGCTTCTTGGTCATGGGCTACGATCAAGTGTAAAACATTACTCCCCTGCTCAGGATCCGTCAATGGCTTCCCATTGCCCTTCCGGCCAAGTCCAGTCTTTTCTCCTGAAACTCATTGCTTTTCCCAGATCTCCCCTCCAGGCTAGGCTCTTTACTTGGGCATCTTCCTGTAATTTCCAGCCATGCCACATGGCTGGTAACTTGCCTCCTGCGTCTTGCTGCTTCCCAGGCCCATGCTGTTCCCTCTGCCTCCAACACCTCCTCTTTACCTTTCCACAGTGTCTGGTTCTGAGGGCCTATCTTTTGGGAAGCTTCCAGGTCTACAGAGACCCACTCCTTTAGCCTCTATACCCATTGAGGTTCCCCTGGATTCAGGACTAATCCTTGTGTTGAATGTGGCTGTCACCCCCAACTATCAGTTTCTGGAGGGCAGGGTCTGAGTCCCATCCATTCCCAAAGCTCTGTCACTGGTACTTTTTAGAAGCTCCATACATAGTCGGGAAATGAGCTGAGCCTACTAAGCTCCTTTCCACCTGAAGGCACAATGGAGTTGGACATGATGAGCTGTCCCTGGACTGTGTGCAGAGGCAGAATCTGCACCAAAAACTTAGGGCAGCTGGAGTCAGACCAATGCCCAGATCTGCTGGGCATTCCACAGAGTGGCCAGCCCTTTCCTGTTCCCTTCTCCTTCCAGCTACTGTGGAACCAGGCTTCCTGGCCCTTTTCTCCAGTCCTAGAGACGTAAGTATAACAGAGCCAGCACCATGCAGGTCACCACACATGATAGCAGGAGGTGAAAGAGGCAATGACACTGACCCCAGGGCCCCCAGCATCTGCCAATCCTTCTGGGCTTCTTTCCACAAAGGAGTCAGCCTCTCTTCTGTCCCCTGAAGGCTGTTTTCAAAATCACATCCCATGCAGACAGTTTTATTTACAAGGAAATCTTGGCAGGATCTTGACTTGTTAGTAGAGTAGGGATGGGAAGGAGGATGGTGAGAAACAAAAATAGTTGAAATGATCACACTTTCTGAAACTGAGATGAAAATTGGTGTCTGTAGCAAACTCACCTAATTAGCATGGAGTTAATTTCCTTCTCTGTGTTTAAGGGAGCAGTCATTGCTGAGTGAGATGGTCACGGGTCAGTCCTAGGGCTGGGGTTATGTGTTTACTTTATGAGGAAGGAGGCATTAATTGCAACTTTCAGTAATGGAAAAGAGCCTCCGTTTCTGAAAGGGAAGGCAGGGGGCAAAGGCAAAGAGTGAGTGGGCGGTGGGAAGAGGAAGGGAAGAGAAGTGGAAGGGCCCAGTCTTGGTGCGGGCTAGGCTGGGCACTGATTGAGGGGGTATCACTGCCTCCTGGGGAGCACTGGTCAGCTGGCCCTTTGCACCAGTGCAGGCAGAGCCTCTGCTTCAAGATATAGTCTTTCCTGGGGGCTCTTTCAGCATCAGTTGTTTCTTTAAAAGACCCCCTACTCCTTTTAGATAACTGCATTCCTGATTGCTTCAGTTTCTTTACCTGCCCTCTCCCAGACGGGGACTTTCCTGGGCTTACTTTTGTCAACGTGGTCAAATGAAACCTCGGCAAGGCCATGTAATTCCGCGCGCAGGGACGGCCAGTCTTAGAGTTTGGGGCCCAGGAAACCCGCCCCCACCCTATTTCCAAGATTTGACTTCTCCTGTCCTTAGGATTGCCGGGACCTCCAAAATCTGAGACCGCAGTGAAGGGAAACCTAAGGGTGGTCGAGGGTGTCCCGTCCTCACAGATCCCACCCTCCCCCCTCCAAGTACTGTTAAGTCTGACGTTGCCAACTCAGTGAAAACCTCTCTTCGGTCTCCTTCACAAATCTGCCGCCTCCAAGAGATCATTAACCCGGTGGGAGAGAGAAAGCAAGGCCCAGAGTGGAGGCTGCTGGTGACGGGGCAGGTGACAGCGCAGTCCCCATTCCCGCCCGGGGCGGTGCAGCCACTTCCCCGCCAACCCCGCCGCAGCCCTCCCTCCTCCTCGGGCCGCGCCGCGCTGACCGATTTGGCCCGGCGGTGGCGCCCGGGGTGGGGGAGCGGGTACGGCGGTCCCCGCCAGCAGCCCCGCCCCCGCCCGCGCGCCGCCCCCGAGGAGTCCGCGGGGAGGAGGAGACTCGGGCCCAGAGCGGGGGCCGCGGGAAGCGGGAAGGGAGCGCGGGCAGCTGCGGGGCCGCGGCCGGCCCAAAGGCGCCCTCGCCTCGGAGCAGGGCGCGGGGGCCGCGGCGGAGGCAGAGGCCGGCGGGGACGCGGGCGCCGAGAAGTTTGGCGGCTGAGAGGCCGGGCGTCCTGGGGTCACGAGGAGGCGGCGGCGCGTGGGCCCGGGCCATGGGGGCAGGAGCGGGCGGTAGGGCTGGCGCGGAGGCGGCGTGGCAGGCATCGAGCCCCCCGAGCGACACGGCCGTCGCGGCACAAAGTTAGCCCAGAGCCCCGGGACGAGCTCCGCGGCCGCAGGCTGCCCCTGGACCCCGCCTCAGCCATGGGCGAGCACCCCAGCCCGGGCCCCGCAGTGGCCGCCTGCGCCGAGGCGGAGCGCATCGAGGAGCTGGAGCCCGAGGCTGAGGAGCGGCTGCCCGCGGCGCCGGAGGACGTGAGTTCCCCCTCCCCCTCCTGGGCAAACTTTCTCGGTGGGGGGGTCCGGGGGAAGAACTGCCCGGGTTTCGCCCCCCGGGGCAACTTGGAGGTTTCAAGGTGACGCGGGAGCGCCCAGGATTGGCCGGGTCCCCGCGGGAGGGAGGAGGGCGGAGGGACCCGTCTCCCCCAAACGCACGCGCGCGCCACCCCCTCCCCGCTTGGGTTCCCGCGGCTTCCCTGCGGGACACAGTCTCCGCTGCTGCGCTGGGGATCCGTCGGCCGCTGGAGTCCCCTCCCCGCGGCTGGTGCAGTGCACAGGACACGGCGTTTTCCCGCAGAGGCGACCGCGTCACAGCAGTAACTCCCCCTCCCACCCCACTCGCGACCTACGGGCTCTCCGAGCCTGGGGAAGGAGCGGGCGCCGCAGAGTCCCCTGTCCCTGGCAGCGCAGACCTGGGTCTGGCGACCCCCTTCTCGGTTCTTGGATTAGCTTCGGCCCGCACCTGCTCTGTCGCGACGCTGATTGAAATTCAGTGCTCCCTGCTCTGGCCAGTCCCTGAACCTGACTGGCCAGAGCAGGGAGAGGAGTGCTGGAAGGGGGTTTGCTCCCATACGGGGTCGCGGTGGGGGGGAAATCAGGGACGGTCCCCTGGGAGAGGACGAGGTAGAGGGCTGCCCCAAAGCTTCTCAGCCATCTGCTGCTCGGGTCTCTATCCCTCTGGAGCCGGCACTGGGAAGTCCTGGGACCTGGAGTTTCTTAAGCTTCTCCCTCCGAGGGTTAATCTACAAACAGAGGCGAAAAACTGGCAGACACCCTGTCCTACCCCGTCCTTCCCTCGGGGTGAAGAGACAGACGGTGAAACCAGGCCCCCAGCCTACAAAACCAAAGCTGAAAAGTCTGAATGGGGCTGGGGGTGTCTAAGATCTTTCTTTGACTTCTATGGTTAAACCCATCACTTCCTTACTGCCCTAAACCCGTCGGACTCAGCCTTGGAAGAGAATGGGTAGGTTCCTGCACATTTGGGAGCCCCTGCCATCCCCCCAAACAATACTGTGCAGAAGAATGTTAATGTTTATCAGGGGTTAACTTGAGTAGGGGTTTCTGACCCCCAGCAGGCCGAGACCCCGGCACTTCAGTCTGCTGAATTGCCCCCGGGCATGCATTCTGGGGCCTGGGAGTAGCCCTGGTCATAAACTTTAGGCAGCAGGAATTATTAAAGATGCTTGGACATAGTTGGATGCCTTTATCTGTTAATTGTTGAGAATCACCCTATTCTCATCCCTCACCTGCCTCCCCCAGAGCCAGGAACACCCACCTTGCACCCCTGGGAGCACCCTCTGCCCCTCCTCCCCTTAGTCTCCCATCCCCTACCATGAGTTTCCTCCCTTTGCTCTGTCATTTGGGGAGCTCTTCCCAGGTTTTCCCTGGTCTCTTGTGGCCAGTCCCGGATCCTAGTGATGACTCCCGGGCAGCAGCTGAGAGGCTATGTCAGAACATCAGGGGGCCACAGAGACTTGGTGATAAGTATGTCTTTCTTTCTTTTCTCCTCTTCTTCCTCTCCCACATGGCCTCCTCCTCTACAGCACTGGAAAGTCCTGTTTGATCAGGTATGTGAGCAGTTAAATCCCCCCTTCCTTCCTGTCCTGAAATCAGTCTCAGTCTCAGTACTTGCGTGGGCTTCCCTAGCTCTGGCTCTGGAAGTGGTGACGTGGGGTGGAGGTGTGGCTTAGTGCATCTCTGGGGCTGAACGATGGTTGCTCTCCAGGTATTAGTAGGAAGCCATGGGTGCCCCGGGGAGGATCCCTCTTTCTCTCCTCCTGCCAACTCCACCAGAGCTGGGTTTATACCTTTAGAAACTGGACAATATGTATTGAATGCCTGGGAAATTCTCTGTATACCAGGACATTGCAGTAGGGGGGCTGGGGAGGAGAAAAGGGCTTGAATTAACAATTTCTCCCTCTTCTCTTTTTACCGACACCGTGTCCACTGAAGTCAAATTTCAACCATCGTTAGGGGGTGGGATGTGTGTGTGACTCACAATATGAGTTCTTGTGAAGGCCAGTGCTGTTTCTTTAATTCTGCACTTGGGATGGGAGAGTGCTAGGAGGTCACAAAAGGGAAATAGCACGGGATTATTTGCAATGCCTGGAGCACAGGTATAAGAAATGGAGTCAAGAGTGCCAAGTTTTGGCTTTTGAGTCTGGAGATAGACATCTGACCTTCAGCAAGGAAATGGTTCTCTTTGGTTGGTCCTTATGTTGGGTGATGTTGTGTCTTTCCTTCTATCCTCCCATAGGGGGAGAGTGAATGCTGCAGCTGGGGAGTGAGAAGGATTGTGCCATGAATTTTGTGCAACTTTAAGAGATTGGTCTGGTCCGGTTGGGCCAGAGGGAATGTGTTGAGTTGGAGAAGGAGATAAAGCCAAAAAAAGTAGTTTTAATCAGACTTTTGTTGTAGGTAAGGAAAGCCTATGAATTTTTTTTTTTTTTTTGAGACAGAGCCTCAGGCTGTCCCCCTGGGCAGAGTGCCGTGGCATTACAGCTCACAGCAACCTCCAGCTCCTGGGCTCAAGCGAGTCTCCTGCCTCCACCTCCCAAGTAGCTGGGACCACAGGCGCCCGCCACAACACCCGGCTATTTTTTGGTTGCAGCCGTCGTGGTTTGGCGGGTCCGGGCTGGGGATTCAAACCCGCCACCTTAGGTGTATGTGGCTGGCGCCTTAGCCGGTTGAGCTATAGGCGCTGAGCCTATGAAAATTTTTTAGCAGGGTTGTTGTGAGATCCAAGCTATGTTTTGGAAAACTCCTGTGTGTGGCTTGGCACCTGGCTCAAGTGCCTAAGGCGCCAACCACATACACCTAAGGTGCTGGGTTCGAATTCAGTCCGGGCCGCCAAACAACAATGATGGCTGCAACCAAAAAATAGCTGGGCGTTGTGGCAGGCACCTGTAGTCCCAGCTACTTGGGAGGCGGAGGCAGGAGACTCGCTTGAGCCCAGGAGTTGGAGGTTACTCTACCCAGGGGGACAGCTTGAGGCTCTGTCTCAAAAAAAAAAAAAGAAAACTCCTGTGTGATAGTGGGAGGAGATGAGTTGGATCACAAGATGAGAGAAACTAGCCAGGAGCCTGCAGCAGTGAATGGGGACAGCACCTTGACTTGAAAGGTGACAATGAGAGTGGAAAGGAAGAGGGACATGGTGATGGGAGAACTGGAAGATCTTTATAAGCCTAAATAGATGAGAAGAACTCTGTGTCTAACTTTGAGATTCTGAACTTAGGAGGGAAAGGAAATGTCAAATGGTGGGGTAAGAGTTGGCAAAAATGTCAACTTTGGTTTCAAAGAGATTCAGTTTGAGGCGTCAGCCAAATACAGATGCTGGAGGGGGACTGAAGACAGGGAATTGCAAAGTGAAAGGCTTGGGGTGAGCTCTTGGGGTTGTCACCCACATTAACCACAAGGCATGGCTGTGGTTTGAGGAGCATTGAGTGGCTCCTGTCCCCATGGGACAGAGCTCCTGAGTGCCACCCACTCTCCCTCCACTGCTGAGAGCACAGCAGCTGCTGGCCTGATGCCCTGAGGCAGGACGGAGCCCGCTGCCGCCGCTGCTGCCACTATCACCAAGCTGCCAGCCCTTCACACCTCCTGCCAGATTTAGAATCAGAACCTAGAACAAAGTGTATCATTCTTTTTTTCTCTGTCTGTGTCTGTCTTTCTCATTTGATTAATTCCCTTTGCCAGTCCTTCTCTGTGTGTGTTTACATTGTAAAACAAACCATTTGGGTGAATAGAAGTGAACTTTTAGTGGGAAGAATTTGGAACTGGAGGGCTCGGTGCCTGTAGCTTAGTGGTTAGGGAGCCAGCCTCACATAGCAGGGCTGGTGGGGTCGAACCCGGCCCAGTCCAGCTAAAACAAAAATGACAACTGCAACAAAAAAAAAGCCGGGGGTTGTGGTGGGCACCTGTAGTCCCAGCTGCTTGGGAGGCTGAGGCAAGAGAATGTCTTAAGCCCAAGAGTTTGAGGTTGCTGTGAGCTGTGATACCACAACACTCTACTGAGGGTGACAAAGTGAGACTCTGTTTCAAAACAAAAAAAGGGCAGGGACTGTGGCTCAATGAGTAGGGCGCTGGCCCCATATACTGAGGGTGATGAGTTCAAACCCAGCCCTGGCCAAAGTGCAACAAAAAAAAACAGCCGTATATTGTGGCGAGTGCCTGTAGTCCCAGCTACTCAGGAGGCTGAGGCAAGAGAATTGCCTAAGCCCAAGAGCTGGAGGTTGCTGTGAGCTGTGATGCTACAGCACTCTACTGAGGGAGACAAAGTGAATCTCTGTCTCTGAAAAAAAAACAATTTGGAACTCTCGGGAGCAGAGGGAACATGAAACACCTAAAATTAGCCGGTGATCTATGAAATCCAATTTTTCCAACTGGCGGGAGGTCCTTGGTGTTGCAAAGAGCATCTCCCTGCTTCTGGGAGGCCCCACCATCCTGGACAGCTAAAAATTAATTCTAGGATATAAACTACCAAAACTTAACTCTGGACAATTTTTTCTCACAGTAAGTTCTACCTGATGTCTACTCCCCTTCCCTCATGCACGTTAGAAGCCATTTTCCACTGTTTTCCTCCTTTGGTGTTTGAGGTTTGAGGAGACCTGCTCCTGAATGTGGGTTTGACCTCTGGCAGACATCCTGTCCCTCTGTGCTCATGCCCCCTGCTTTTTTAAGCCATCCCCCCACCATTCCCCCATAGGTATGAAGCTTCACCAATGCCTGCATCACCTCGGAAGGCTGCCAGGTTGATCAGAAAGCTGAGTGTTTTATCTTTTTGCCTCATCGTCTGGGCCTGCCAGAGGTGATTGGTAAACTTGGTACATCCAGGAAAGAAAAGTTCAGTTGAAGAGGAGACAGCCTCCCCGATATTTCATACAGAAGTCGACAGCCCTGATAGGTCAAACTGTGATCGTGGGGTATGACACCTGTCAGAGTCCCTGTGAGCAGGTGCAGCTCAGAGTTCATCTTCC